TACTTTTGCTCAAGGCTAGTATTCTAACACTTTGAGCCATAGCACCACTTCTGGTTTTCTAGTGGTTAATTGGAGATAAGAGTCTCATAGACTTTCCTGCAAGGGTTGGCTTTGGACCATGATCCTCAGAGCTCAGCTGCTGAGTAGCTAGGATAATAGGCGTGAGCCACCCCGGCTCTCAGCTTAGACCTGCTTCTGATGAAGTAGGTGGAACTACTATAAGACTGGAAGATTTGTGTGAGGCACTGGTGGTGACTCATGCTTGTAATCCTAGCCACTCAAAAGGCTGAAATCTGAAGACTGAAGTTCAAAGCCATACCTACATCCAATAATCTTGCACATTCAAGCCCCATGACCGACCAAAAAAAAAATCACCAATAATCTTGCACACAATCTTCCCTCCTTATGTATTTATTACTGAAAAGGTGATGAATAGGGGAGTTACAGTTACATAAGTAAGGTAATGAGTACATTTTTTTTTTTAGGTCCAGTCATGGGGCCTGAACTCTGGGCCTGGGCACTGTCCCTCGGCTCTTCAGCTCAAGGCTAGTGCTCTACCACTTGAGCCACAGTGCCACTTCTGGCTTTTTTTTCTTTTTGTTTATGTGGTGCTGGGGAATCGAACCCAGGGCCTCAGGCATGCAAGGCAAGCGCTCTACCACTGAGCCACCTTCCCAGCCCCGTACATTTCTTTTTGAACACTGTTACCCACTCCCTCAGTTTCTCCCACTTTCTCCTCTTCACTCCTGCCCCTCCCCCCAAGTTGTAAAGTTCATTTCCAACGCAGTGTCTAGTGAGTATTATTGTTGCATTAATTCATCCTTTCTCCTGCCGTTTCTGTGATTCCCTTTCCCTTCTGTGGATCAGATACAAGACAAAGGGCACAGAAAACTAAAACAAAAACAAGTGGTTCTGGGAAGGTAGCTCAGTGGTAGAGTGCTTGCCTTGCATGCATGAGGCCCTGGGTTTGATTCCTCAGCACAATTTAAGCAGAAAAAGCCAGAAGTGACACTGTGGCTCAAGTGGTAGACGGCGATCCTCAGATCTCAGCCTCCTGAGTAGCTAGGATTACAGGCGTGAGCCACCAGCGCCCGGCTTTATGTTTAATCTTTTGAGGAACCTCTAGAGTGGTTGAACAAGTTTACACATCAACCAACAGTATAGTTGTGTTCCCTTTTGGCCACATCCTGTCGGCATCTGTTAGTATTAGATTTCATGAAAATGGCCATTCTAACCAGGGTGAGGTAGAATTTCAATGTTGTTTTGATTTGCATTTCTTTTATGACCAGAGATGTTGAACATTTCTTCCTTTTTTTTTTTTCTACTGGCCATTCTTAGTTCCTCTCCAGAGAAGCCTTTCTTTAAGTCTTTAGTCGACTTGTTAGTGGGGTGGTTATTTCTTTGAGGATTTGTTTTTGGGCGATTTAATTTTTTGAGCTCTAAGTATATTTTAGATATGAGGACCTTGTCTGTTGTATGGCTAGTGAAGATCTTCACACAATCTGTGGGCTTTCTATTTATCATGTTAGCTATGACTTTGCTATGCAGAAGCTCTGCAGTTTAATACAATCCCATTTATTCATCCTTTCTTTGATTTGCTTGTTTCTGGGTTTTTAATTAAGAAAGGAGCTCTAGTATTTTCCCTATTCCTTCCTTTAATATTTTCAGGGTATCTGTTTTTACCTTGAGGTCTTTGATCCATTTGGAATTGCTTCTGGTGCAGGGTGATATATAAGGATCTAACTTCAGTTTTCTACATGTGTACAGCCAGCTCTGCCAGAACTATTTGTTGAAAAGCTTTTCTTTCTTCCATTTCGTTTTATTGGCTCCCTTATCAAAGATTAGTTAGCCATAGGTCTGTGAGTTCATTTCTGGGTCTTCAATTCTATTCCATCAGTCCTCAGGCCTGTTCTTGTGACAATACCAAGCTGTTTTTTTTATTATTATGACTTTGTAATAGAGTTTGAAATTTGGTACTGATATTCCTCCAGCACTGTTCTTCCTATTAGACTGTTTTTGCTATTTGGGGTCTTCTATTATTCTATATGAATTTTTGATTGTTTCTTCTATTTCCTTAAAGAATGATGTTGGGGGCTGGGAAGGTGGCTCAGTGGTAGAGTGCTTGCCTTGCATGCATGAGGCCCTGGGTTTGAATCCTCAGCACAATTTAAGCAGAAAAAGCCAGAAGTGACACTGTGGCTCAAGTGGTAGAACGCTAACCTTGAGCTGAAGAGCTGAGAGACAGTGCCCAGTCTCAGAGTTCAGGCCCCATAATGGACAAAAAAAAGAAAAAAAAAAAGAAAGAAAAAGAGTGATGTTGGGATATTGATGGGTATTGCATTGATAAGCTTTTGGCAGCACTGCCATTTTCATGATGTTAGTCCTAATCCAGGGGCTTTGGAAGTTTTTCTACTTCCTTAGATTTGTTTTAATTTCCTTTTTTCAGATTTTTAAAGTTTTCATTATAGAGGTCTTCACTTCTCTGGGTAAGTTAATTCCTAGGTATTTTATTTAATTTTTTTTGAGGCTATTACAAAGGGAGTTGCTTTCCTGATTTCCACCTTGCTCTTCTCATTGTTGGCATACAGAAAAGCTATTGATTTTTGTGGATTAATTTTATACCCTACTACTTTGCCAAAGACACCCTTATCTCTTCTTCAACTGAAATTGGGCCTTCCACTCTAGACTCCCATCCCCCAGGTCTTTCATACCCCAATATCCATCTGGAGGTAAGACTACTATCCTTTTTGCTTAATTTGTTGCTCCCTGGCTAGTATTATTTTATCCTCAAGCCAACAGCCCTGGTCATATGTGCTTTTCCTTATAATTGTCCCCTACCCCTTGTGGTTTCTAGATGCCTATTCCATTTATCCTAGGGCCCAGTCCATTAGCTAGTTCAATCACATTAACTTTCATCAACATCCATGCTATCTCAGACCCTCACACTCACAGCCAAAGCTAAAGTACATTATCACCAAGATCCACTCCACTTTTGAAAGCATAGCCTAAATAAATTGCTCTTTAATCTCAATCTTTTTACTTCTACTTGCTGTTTCCTTAATTAAATCAAAAATCTCCCTTCTCTTGTCCTCTCTACATTATCTACAATTTTCTGATATTTTACTCCTTTTTTTTTTTTTTTCGGTTGGTTGTGGGGCCTGAACTCTGGGCCTGGGCACTGTCCCTCAGCTCTTCAGCTCAAGGCAAGTGCTTTACCACTTGAGCCACAGTGCCACTTCCAGCTTTTTCTGCTTATGTGGTGCTGATCGAAACCAGGGCCTCATGCACACAAGGCAAGCACTCTACCACTGAACCACTTTCCCAGCCCTATTTCTTTCTTGAATCAGTTTAGACACCAAGATCTATCACTTCTTGGAAACAGCCATGGTAATCTTCATGGATTTTTGGGCTGGTTCACATAGTATAGTTCAAATAAATTTGAAATAGTGTAAAGATAAATACAAACCAGCAAACCAGAGTTCTACTTCATGTAAGAATAGGAATTAGTGGATTCTTAACATTTTAAGAACTCTCAGGAATTACTCAGAGTGAGCTACTGCATTGTGGTGTGACCCAGCTGACCAGAAGAACACCTGCCATCTTGCTCAGGACTGTAAGTCTCACTGCTGTTTATGTGCTCTGGGACTTCTGGAAGTGATTAGGATGACTAATGTGCTGTTGTTTTACAAACTCTGTTATTATAACTGAAAATATTTTTACATCCTACAACAATATTTCTCAAGCATTCATTTAGCAGTGGTTATAGAAACTATGCTGAAAAAAAGTGTCCCCAAACAGTACCAGAACAGAGACTAATTGTGATAAAAGCCCACATGAAGACCAAACACCCACCAGGAGAGCCTGTACTATTCAATGAGGAGAAAATACTCTAAAAAATTAGACATGATAAAAAAATTAAAGTAAAATGTGTTACAATACTACATATTTCTGGGCCTCCCTAATATCCCTTACATTTTTCCTATGAGACAGTTAGTGTTTAAATCTGAACTTTAAATCACAAGATTACTTTAGTAGTTCATCAGCCAAATAAATGTAAATGTCTTTGAGAATTTAGCCTGGAGCTGGTGGCTCACACTGTAATCCTAGTTACTAAGGAGACTGAGATCTGAGGATCCTGATTCAAAACCATCCCAGGCAGGAAAGTCTGTGAGACTTTTATCCCCAATTAACCATCAGAAAACCAGAAGTGGAGCTGGGTCTCAAAGTGGTAGAGCACCAGCCTTGAGCAAAAGAGCTCATAGTCCCAAGTTCAAGCCCCACAAATGACCCCCAAAAAACCCACACATAATTTCCCCTACTTTTTCTGCAAAGTATTTCTTTTTGTCCACTACTACATTTCAGGAATGTAGCAAACAGTGTGGAGATTATGGAGTCAGACTTTCTGGGTCTGAAGCTCCTAGCTCAATCGTTTTCTAGCTATGTGACTTTATAATCTCTCTATTGGTTTCCTTATCTGAACAGTTCAGACAATATTACCCACTTTTAGGGCTGTTGTGAGGACAGAATGAGTTGATATATTTAAGATGCAAAAACCTTGTGTGACACTCAGTAAACAGTAGGTAAGCATTAGCTATTATAGTAGTTATCTTCTCCATTACCATCAGCACTTTCCTAACAACCCTTGATGATATCTGTAAGCTGGAATTTGCCTCACTGGGTTAAAAAAGAATCTGCCTCTTTGGTAACAGTTTATGAAGCACTCATAGAATGTGTGGTAGTTCCTAGTAAAATACACGATGGTGTATTTTAGGGCATTAGGCATTAGCCCTTTTTTTTTTTTTTTCTATTTTCTTTTGAACAGCTACTGAAAGCTTCATCACATTTCTGAGAATCAGTATGTACTGGAGGAGGCAATATTTACCTTTTCTAGCAAAGAAAGTACCAGGCAAGCAATATAATTCTGAATAGGGTGTGCTCAGAAACAGATATTTACATCTGTGATTCGACTGTTTCAGTGACTACTTCTTTAGCCATCTTACCTTTAGTCTGTCTTTAGGCAGTGCAACAACCCCCTGCTTAATGATTTCCAAGACCCGTTCTACTGACAGCTCAGCTCCAGCCTGTAGCAGCCTTGAGCTAAAGAAGGTGATCACCTGGAAATGAAAAGAAATATTTTTTAAATAAATTCTTTTGAGATGGGTGTTGCCCTTATGCTCAAGCAGGTCTCCCCCTCCCTCCCTTCTCTACATACTAGGGTTTGAACTCAGGACCTGGAGCTTTCTAAGCCGAGGTCTACTACTTAAGCTCTTTTTTTTGGGGGGGGGGCAGTCCTAGGGCTTGAACTCAGGGCCTGGGCACTGTATCTGAACTTCTTTTGCTCAAGGCTAGTACTCTACCACTTAAGCCACAGCACCACTTTTGACCTTATCTGTTTATGTGGTACTGAGGAATCAAACCCAGCGCTTCATGCATACTAGGTAAGTATTCTACCACTAAGCCACATTTTTTTTTTTTTTTTGGTCCAGACTAGCCTCAAATTGTAATAGCCCTATCTCCATGCTTAAGTAGTAGCTAGGATTGTAAGTGTGAGCCATTGAGTTGGGTTCCCAGGTTGGTCTTGAACACACAATTTCTCTGTCCCAGCTTCACAAGTAGCTGGTATTACAGATCTATACCACTGTGACTAGCTAAAGATCATCTATCTATCTATCTACCTACCTACCTACCTACCTACCTACCTACCTAGTGCCTATCCTAGGGCTTGAACTCAGGGCCTGGGAGCTGTCCCTGAGCTTTCCCCCAAGCCCCCCTCGCTCAAAGCTAGCACTCTACCATTTGAGCCACAGCTTTTGGTAGTTGATTGGAGTCTCATAGACTTTGCTGCTCAGGCTGACTTTGAACTCTGATCTTCAGATCTCAGCTTCTGGAGTAGCATAGAATTACAGGTTTTATGAGCCCACTGCCATCTGGCTATAAAATTTTTAAACAAATAGTTGTATAAAATGTAATTTTTTTTTTTGGGTCCGGTCGTGGGGCCTGAACTCTGGGCCTGGGCACTGTCCCTCAGCTCTTCAGCTCAAGGCTAGAGCTCTACCACTTGAGCCATAGTGCCACTTCCGGCTTTTTCTTTTTGCTTATGTGGTGCTGAGGAATTGAACCCAGGGCCTCAGGCATGCAAGGCAAGCACTCTACCACTGAGCCACCTTCCCAGCCCTATTTAAGTTATCTAAGTTCTCTAAGTTTCTGCCTGGGAGAAGTTGGGGGATTTTTTTTGGGGGGGGTCCGGTCGTGGGACCTGAACTCTGGGCCTGGGCGCTGTCCCTCAGCTCTTCAGCTCAAGGCTAGCACTCTACCACTTGAGCCACAGTACCACTTCCGGCTTTTTTCTTTCTGCTTATGTGGAGCTGAGGAATCGAACGCAGGGCCTCATGTATGCAAGGCAAGCGCTCTACCACTGAGTCACTTTTCCAGCCCTCAGAAAAATTCTTAATAAGAAAGCAGGGCTGGGAAGGTGGCTCAGTGGTAGAGCCCCTTGCCTAGCTTAAGTGAGGTCTTTTTTCATTTAATTTTTAAAAATTGCTATTATAAAGGTGATGTACAGAGGGGTTACAGTTATGTAAATATGGTAAAGAGTACATTTCTTTTTGGACAGTGTCTCCCCTTCCTTCACTCTTGCCCAGTTTTTTCCTACTATCCCTACTCACAAGTTGTATAGTTCATTTGCAACACAGTATCCAGTGAATACCATTGCTTCATTTGTTCATCCTTTGTTCCTCTATTTCTGTGCTCCCCTTACACTCCCAAAGACATATAAGCAAACATACAGAACAAAAAGGAAAGAAAACAAAGAGCAAAATAGAAAAAAAACAAAGAAACTCTTGTTTTCATTTCCTGAAGTTCATAAGTGAGGTTCTTTTAAATTACTCTTCTAAATATTAACTATTAAGAAGACCATACCTTTTCTCTTAACTATTCTAGTTGAAAGTAAACCAAGTTAGGTAAATGCCACTGACATGTACTTGTTCCAGAAAGTAAAGATGTACCAATGGAGTTAGAATCATTACCAAGTGTGTGCCTCCCACCCCAAAAAACGACTAACAGCAAAGGCAGCTGTGGCTGATTATATTGCTTTTCATTCCAGATAAACAAGAAAGTTGCTTGAGATAAAGAAATGATCATCCATTCTTTCACAAGTTGCTTATTATATCCACACAGGTTGGTTCCCCAGTGTGTGCTTATACATCTTATTTTTTTAAGCTTCTTTTGGGATTCTGGGATTCAAATTGTGTTAAGAGTTTTGACACAGTAGACTCATAAATTCATTTCTGTACCATAGTCACTAAATCTTTTTTTTTTTTTTCAGTCATGGGGCTTGAACTCTGGGCTTGGGTGTTGTCCCTGTGTTCTCCCCTGTGCTGAAGGTGAGCGCTCTACTGCTTAAGCCACAGCGCCACTTCCAGTTTTCTAGTGGTTTATTGGAGATAAGAGTTTCTTGGAATTTCCTACCCCAGCTGGCTTTGAACCATGACCCTCAGATCTCAGCCTCCTGAGTAGGAGGATTACAGGCGTGAGCCACTGGCGCCTGGCTTAGTCACTAAATCTTTGAAGAAAGACACATTACAATGGTTCCTTCAAACTCTTATTTTAAAATGTGCAACAAAGAAGCAAAAAAAAAAAAAGTCTTCCTGTTGTATAACTACCTTTATAGATCTTAAACATAAAGTTTTCAAAATTGACTATCCATACAAATGATCACTTTCTACTGGTAAAAATGGTTGATATCAGCAATTTCAGGGGATTTAACCAAATAGCTGTGGGTAAAATAAAGAGAAGGAACATACATGTTAAAAATATACCCTAAGGGGCTGGGAATGTTGCGTGGTGGTAGAGTGTTTGCCTAGCATGCATGAAGCCCTGGGTTTGATTCCTCAGAACCACATACACAGATGAAGCTGGAAGTGGTGCTGTGGTTCAGGTGGTAGAGCACTAGGCTTGAGCAAAAGAAGCTCAGATACAGTGCTACAGTGCCCAGGCCCTGATTTCAAGCCAAAAAAAAAAAAAAACCAACATTCTAAGAAATGAAAAAAAGTAAAAAACAGATTTGTCAGACATAAAATGTCTTTCTCATATTTACTAGAAGCTGATATTTTGTTATTGGATGATGTTTGAAAGATAACAGAGGAAAGTAGTAGTTCTCAAATACAGCTGAGTATCAAAAAAAGTTGGGAGGCTTTGTAGTATACTTATTCCTTGCCAGAGACCTTCTATATCAATATCTTCTGTGATTTTGATCAGCCAGAATCTAGAACAGTGGGCGGGCTTCAAAATTTTCTGACTTATATGCCTATAAGCTAAAAAAAAGACAAAAAAAAAAAAAACACTGGAATTACTGGCACCTGTAATTCTAGCTACTCAGGAGGCTAAGATCTGAGGATTGTGGTTCGAAGCCAGTCTCAGCAGGAAAGTCTGTGAGAGGGCTGGGAAGGTGGCTCAGTGGTAGCGTGCTTGCCTTGCATACATGAGGCCCTGGGTTCGATTCCTCAGCACCACATAAGCAGAAAAAGCTGGAAGTGGTGCTGTGACTCAAGTGGTAGAGCACTAGCCTTGAGCTGAAGAGCTGAGGAGTGCCCAGGTCCAGAGTTCAGACCCCATGACTGGCAAAAACAAAACAAAACAAAACAAAAGTCTATGAGACTCTTATCTCAAAATAACCACCAGAAAACTGGAAGTGGTACTGTAACTCAAGTGGCAGAGCACTCACCTTGAGCTAAAGGACTCAGGGACAGCTCCCAAGCCAAAAGTTCAAGCGCCACCAGGACAAAAAAAAAAAAAAGAAAGGGAGGATTTTCTTATGGTCTATGTTCTATCAGTTTATAAATAATGTAATACACCATAGCATTGTTTCATATATTGCAAAATATATATAAAAGAAAATTAAAAAGAATAAGATAAATACAAATGAACTAGATATTAGAAATACTTAGCTAATAATACAAAACATACAAAATATTACTAAAAATAATTAGATAAATCAGTTATCATAATTCTTGCTAGCAGTAATACTTATTTAACATTATCACGAGGGAACAAAATATATTCCCTCAGTAAGATATGCTGTTTATGATAGTAGATGTAAATATGTACTAGAAACAGTCCTCCTAATAATATTTATACATCTATTTCTTGTGAGATTATGGAGTTCATCACTGTTTCCACCTTGTAATGCGGTGCCTGTACTATAAGGAGAGGGACATCATCTTTGTCATTATCTTTTGTTGTGTATACTGATAATACTGTTATTATTTCCAACTTGGAAGATAATATTCATGAAGGTTTAGGTCCAACAACTAGGAACACAACTGTACAATAAACTGTAAGAAAAATCACAGGTACAGGCAATTGTGCCAACTCCTATATGTTGAGGTTTTCTTCCTTTCTCTTCCCTCAGGACAGACAGGGTTCTGTAGTTGACTGTCCCACTTTATCAGTGCCAATGGTGTTTGGCAAGTGCTGTACCACAGAGGCACACCCCAGGTCAGTACCAATACTATCAGTAACAAGAAATCTCTTTAGATGAGCAAATAAAGTTCTAATATATTCTTTACCAAGATAACAAAATGCCTATAGTCAAAAGTCAAGCAGAACACACAGTATTCATATTATAAAGACACTGCAAGCCAACGAAGAGTGAGCAACCATATACCTCCAAAGAGCAAAGGGATGAGATGACCATCCTGTTTGGTTCTCTGGCTTACATTGACCTACCTCTAAGCTACAAGGAGATCTCATCCCACCAGGAAAGCTGGTGAGCATGCAAGAGGCTCAGGTTCTCAGTAAATTTTTCTTCCTGTCTTCATCCTGAATGCTGTGATTACCAGTGTGTAACAGCATGTCTACTAGGCTTAAGTTTTTTGTTTTTCCTTTTAGTGCTGATCCTGGGGCTTGAACTCAGGGCCTGGGTGCTATCCCTGGATATTTTGCTCAAGGCAATTGCTCTACCACTTGAGCCACAGCTCGATTTCCAGCTTTCTGGTGGTTAATTGGAGATAAGAGTCTCAGACTTTCCTGCCCAGGTTGGCTTTAAATGGATATCCTCAGATTTCAGACTCCTGAGTTGCTAGGTTGCAGGCTTAAGACACTGGCACATTCGTAC